CCATATTGCGCAAATATTGCAGTAAGTTGCTTTGGCAATGTGTTTTACTTTTATTGCACTCGAGCCGCCGGGCGCTGCACATTTTTAGCGCCAGTCATAAAATCCGACGAGCATCTACGGCAGCCTCAGCTTCAATTTCAGCTTCAGCTCTATTCCTGCTCCAACTCCAACTCCATCTAGCATCCTGGCCAGCACATTTTTCCAATTTTAAGGCTGAGTAGCGCGCACGGCGAACGCCAAATGACCCTAGAAATGATTGCCAATGGGTGGGCGGGGGTGGGTTGGGGTGGACAGTTGATCCTACAGGCAGTTGCGTAACCAGGCAACTCCGAACCGGCAACAACAAGGGTCATTCGTTGAGTGAAAAGCGTGGGAGCCAAGGAAGGGCCCACAAAGCCTTCCAACGCCCGACGCTGTTGTTATTTGCCTCGGCTTATTTGCTAAAAATAAAATCAAACTGCAATGCCGGTCCACGACATAATAAAAGAAATTGCGTGAAAGGCGGCTTAAAGAGTTGGCCAAGAGAAGGCAACGACCCAGGGCTGGAATGACTGCAGTTTTATGGTCCCAACTAGCAGGTGAATCACTGGGAAAACAATATTGATAGTACCAAATTTAAGGATTTCAACTAAACAAATAAGATCAAATTATTTGGATAAAATTACCTAGTTATTACATAGGCTAAATTTATATTTTAAAGATTTATGACTTAGGTGTTAGATTTGATTATCATACTTAGTTAGTTTTCATTATCATACAAATTTCAACAAATCGCTAATTCAAATTCTAAAATTTGCTATTTAAAGTAATATATTTTTAAGGCAAAAATTTTCTGTAAGTGTTATTCCCTACAATAGGATTGAAGCTTTGCCAAGTTCTTAAGGTGCTGGTGGATTCACGCCGGGAAAAGATTACTTAGTGCAATTGGAGATGGATAAGAGGATTGCTGCAGTTCTATTTAATTTATTAAATATAATGAAATAGGTAAATTAGTAGGTACACCTACTGCTGTGAAAGACTGATAAAGCTTGCTTGTTTTATATCTCGTTCGCCCAGTTGTCAACGCAGTTTCAATTTATCAGCTTTATGGCCCTTAAAAGCACTTTTATGAGCTGGCAACACACACCATTCGTATTATCCCGCCATGTCGATGTTATGGCGCATTTAGCGATTTTAAAGTAATAAACTCGGCCCATGTCCTGGCCATCAAGCGAAGCCATTAAATTTTCAAGGAGTCCGCAGGACAGCCACTCCTCGAGACTGCTAGTTTTCGGAAATTGGCGCCCGCTTTCGGCCATATTGAGGTATTGAGTGACATCTATTAATCGTCGGAGGTCCTGCCGGAGCCGTAGGTTCGCAGTTGGATTAGGAGATGAAGCCGGCGGCAATGTTCGGGCCATAAATCACCGGAGAACTTCATTAGACACATTTCATGTTCGGCTGTGCCGTGCCGGGATGTGCAGATGTGGTCGCAGGACAGCTGTCCTGTCGGTTTGCTGTGGGCTAATTAAGACGCCAGCTTCGATGGGTATCGCCTGCCCCAAAAAGGTTATTAATAATGCCGCTTCGATTTGGCCGGTGCTTTCTCCTTTCTCCTTTCTTTTAAAGCACAAAAATTGGGTAATAAAAAAGGACATGGCAAATAAGCATGGGTTGGCCTGAACTGCGGCTCTCATCTGGCCACATTTCGAACAGGAATTGTGGTCAAGTTGTCATATCTCCAAGTTCACCTTCGGCCTCTTGTCTTTCACTGAGTAAACACCAACTCGCCTGTTGCCAAACAGTTTGCGGTTTTCGTTTAGACGAAAATACCAGGAATTTTGCATAAAAACGCATTCAAAAATCGGTTTATGGCCTGATCTAAGTCATAAGCCCGATGAGCAAACTTTGTGACAATGGCCAATGGCAGTAAACATCAGTCACATTGTGAATAGGTGTGCAAAGTGCCGGCAGACAAAGTTGGCTTAGCGAAGTTGGCCGACAAAAAACAAATCCTTTTATCACTCTAATGCATGTGATGAATGATATTAGTTGGGGCATATGAATTTTTTTTAGGTTTTAGGGATTTTAGCTACTGATTTTATATAAAACTTGTTGAACTTCTTGAAAAACAGTAAGCTTTAATCTTATACATTAAATTTAAATATTCAAATCTTAAAATCAAGACATTTATCTAACAAAAACCTAGAATAAAGACCAACGTTATTGCACGTCTATAAAAAAAATTGACCATCTCTGCTGTCATAATTGAATAATAAACGTTGCGCTACTCGAAACTAAATTTCAAGCTGGCATTTTGATGCACGCAGATGCAATCATACCCAGCACTCAAAAAGTTGACAAGGTATAATGGGTTGCTAAATAAATAAATAAATAAAAATAAGAAGCTTAATAAGACTTAACTATATATTCGTCTATTTAGTGTTATAGCTACCAAATGTGTGATAAATCCAATAAAGGCTGTTATTTAAGAGACGGTACTCTAGAGTCGATTCTAGCCCACTCTCGTCACCTCTTCTTTTTTGCGTTTAAGTGCACGGTTCACTTGGCTGAAAACCTTTTACCAATAGCTCTGCCTCTGCCATACCTGCGCATCTATTCCGCTATTCGTGTGCTAACTTTTTGTTGGCTTTTTTGCCAAAAGCTTTTAGCTGGACGCATCCGACGGAGCGTGGCGACGTCGTCATCGTGTCGCTGCATCAAACGACATTTAGCTTGTGCATAAAGTTCACATCATTGCCGAGTTGTTTGCCATGTTAACTTTATTAGTGTGCACGGCTCCTGGATGCCGATTCCCGATTTCGCTCCTGGTACTGGTCCTGCTCCAACTACTCCACTACTGTGCCCTCGGAGAGTGCTTCATTTGCGTTATTGATACGCCAGCCTGCTGTATTTCATTAGCCGAGCAGCGGCTTGGATCGGCAAGTTTCTTTGGCTGCCGTGAAATGCAATTTGCCCGCAGCCAGCGTATGTGGAATCGTAAAAATTATAATAAAGTTGCCTACGCCCTGGTTCTACATTTTATTAAGTCCCAAAAACACTGAAAATGGACGTTTGTGGCTAGTTTCGAAAAATACAATTTTGTTCCATTTTTTTCGGTTTGTTTAAAAGGGGTAACATCATTATCATCATTTTAAATGGGACCAACAATTTGTTTCTGTGCTTGAATGCAAACTTTTTGGCAATTTTATTCTGAGCTCAACAAGACATGGCATTAAATACTTGGTTCAAAATACTAATTGTTTTTGGCTGAGAAATTGGCTTTTGTTGTTAAAATTGGTCCGGCCAAAATAACAAAATTATTTTTAAGGCGTGTTTTACCTTCATAAAAGCAAATAGTGTTGGACGACTACAACCCTTTTATTTTAGCTTTCGTACTTTTAATAAAGTTATGACGATGGCAATTACCCTGCCGAATCGACACTCTGACTAATGTCGAATATGTATAAATTATGAGTATGATGTAGTACTTCATTCGTCCATTTGTTACCCATACTCCAAGCAGCACAATAAACCCTTGCACTGCTCGAGTGGCGGGCATAAAAAAATACATATGTAGCGAAGGTAATAATAAAGCCACGTAAATCGCACGCCATATTGGCCCCAGTCCATAGACAGATGTCAATCACGTGCCTTTCGTCGTTCCAGGGAAATGGAAAAAAAAGAAGAAAAATAAATATATAGAACATAACCGAAGAAGGGTTGGGTAAGCCAGCTAAACTGTGGTGCAGGTCTAGGGTCGATCTCAAAGCGCATTCTGGTAATGGAAAAAGGAACTGCAAGCTCAAAGCAAACAGGAGAAGGTTCCTGGTTGCTGGTTCCTGCCGGCATTTTCGCATTTCCGATCGGGACAGCCAGTGTCAAAGCCGTTCGCTTGATTGATTTTTTCTCCCTGGCTGTCGCTGCTTGGCATATCGCGGAATAAATGCCCCCTTCAGTGCAACACCATCACCATTCACCCATTCACCCATTCAACCCACTTCAGATGGGTCCGCGGGCACTTGGCAGGCCGCACTTAGCTGCCGTTGCCGTTTGCCGTTGTCGCCGTCGTTTTGTTTGATAGCATCGTCTAGCAACGTGTCTGGCAGACCCTGTGACGTAAGCCCAGCACTTTTCCACCACCCACCAGTCAGTACCTACCCATTACCAATCCTCAGCCATGCATGCATTGTGAACTCCAGCGTTGGCGCCTTTGGCATAATCAGTTGCAAAAATTTGACACGCCCGGGAGTAAATGGGCAAAAAGCGCGTTGTTTTGCCGCCATTTTTGCTACGCCATTTTCCACCTCACACACACACTTAGTGCTCGGGTGTAAGTGTGTGTGCTTTATTTGCATATCTGTTTTTGATTTTTGTCGCCGGTGGCGTCTATTCAATTTGACGTGCCGCTCGGTTGCTCAGCAGCCGCCCAATGAAATCAATAAATCTGCTCCACCGTTTGGATCCAATTTATCACTTTGCAGCGCTGCTCCCCCTTTCTATCCATTGATTTCCCCCATTTTCCACTTTCGCCACTGTGGCGTGCAGTGCCACGCCTACAGTCATGCGGCAGAAGCTTATCCGCGAAACGATGTGCATACAACTTTATTATTAGGGCATACGCGGCGTATGAGTGATGGGTGAGCGAGAAGCGGCCTTAATGGGCAGGCAATTTCTTATGCCCACCTGAATGAATGGGGCCGTGAAACGTATGCGGCTGCCTCAGTCAATAATGAAATTTAGCAAAATATCCGAGCACAAAAGGAGCTGCCGCGGTGAGTCCTGCGGCGCTGAATTCCCGAAATTCTGGAATAAGATGGGGCAAAGCTTTGCATATTTTACGGCGCCATCGAGCCATGTGCCGAAATGTTTTGTGCGCGCTTAAATTGCGGAAGTGATAAACAGGCGGCTCCGGTCCAGGAAGCATTTTAATATTTCAAGTTTTACTCGAGGCAGCAGAAGACGCTTTGTGCTACAAAGAAGGCAAGACAATAAAATAAAAAGAAACACTCAGTTTTTGGTTTATTTTTTTTACATTAAATATATTTAGATGGTTTTTCTTTCAAAATTGTTTTCTGGATTCCATGAGCGCGACCTTAAACGGCACGAGGACTTAAAGAGGGGGCTCCATCCAGTAAAAGTAAAAGTTAAACAAAATATTGCAGTTGGAATGTGTTCTGGTTTTCGGCTCTTTTTTGGTGGCGCCACGCCCCCTCCACATTCCACGCCCCTAAGGTCCTCGCATCATGGTTTTCTTATTTTTTTTTGTGTGGGCTGGGGTTGACATTTCGGTTTCGATTTCGGTTTCGGTTTCAATTTAGCAAACTTCTTACATCAAGTACATTTATATTTCGGTTATATTATTTGCTGCTTGTTTCCGTTCGCTCTGTGTACATTTAAGTTAAAATAATTAAGTAAGCTACATTTAGTTATTAATATTTAAAAATTACTTTACTCGCTGCCTACTTCCATGCGCTGCTTAGCCGTACAAAAAAATGGGAGAGGAAAATCATTTCAAATGGCACACATAAAACAAAACAACCGAAGTGTATGTTAGGCAACAAGAGGAACACAAAATCTTTGGTTAAAATTTCTCAATTCTTAAGGCTAAATATGAAATAAGTGTTCGTGTCGTTATTAATTTATTACAAGCATTTAATGCATTAGACAGAGTGGCTAAATCAATCGAACTTCGCCCGACTCCTTGAGGCAACTGAAAATCCTTTCACAATCTCTAGCATAGTAACTTCGTGACAATCAAATCAAATGAGTGTAAAGTGGCTGAGTATCAACAGTAATGAAAATTAGTGCCCTGCTTAGATAGAAGTTTTCCTTAGATTTCTCATTTTTTTCACATTTATAAGTTTTTATTTTTTTGTGGATTTTCTCGGTTGTGTTTAAGTTCTTAGGGGCTAATCAAAACACTAAATACATTTAGCTTATATCCATTTACTTAAAATAGTTTTGTGTTTTCTGCTTTGCTCACGTCTATTTCATTATTTCGCTTGTCTCAAGTGCTTTTGAGTTTGCCCCATTTTCCGGCGCTTTTCCGCGTTTCTGCTTGCCAGCTCGTCGGGGTTTTCCCCGATTTTCCTGCTGTTTGCTCTCGCTTCACTTATCTGCTGATTGTCCACTAAAACTATGCTTGCTCCTTATGCTCGGCGTTCTACTTTTCTGGCTTTTCCTTTCGGCTGCTCCCATTTTTCGGGGATTTTTGCGTTTCAACTTTTTCCCTTTTTTTTACACAATAAATTTGCATTGGTTTTTGCTTAATTTATCTTCTTTTTGTATATGAATTATTAAACACATTAATCAAACAGATTTTGTTTAGTTTTTTTTTTGGGTTTTTCTCGTTTTGTTTTTTTTTGGTTTTGTTTTGGTAAATCATAGTTTTGTGCATAATTTAATACGTAATAAATTGCCAAATAAAGTGTCATATGCATCCATATTAATTTGAATGCACAAATCGTCGGCTTTTTTGGTTTTTCTCTAAAAATGACATTACCCTTTCCCCCAGCTTGCATTCATTACAATACAATACAATTAAACATACAGTATTTTTCCATATAAATATTTTGTATATATTAGCATAATTTACCTTTATATATTCAGTCTTAAGCTACAAAAATCGTTATGCATATTTCTGTTTTGTTTTTATTATTTAATCTCTTTATGCTTTTGTTGTTTGCTATAATTTGAATCTATTCAAATAAGTTATATAAATTCGCAATGTATTCATTTTTATTTCGTGTTTTCGTTTACATTTCTGGTGCGGCGAAAGAAGGAGAAAAGCAGAAAAGTGTTTTTCCGGGGAGTTTTCATTTTCGGGAAATTCAGGCGACAGTTGTAGGGTAGCAAACAGTCTTACAACTAAAAAGCTGACTTAAATTCTAACAAGAACTTGCGGGGTGGCCGGGATTATTACGTTTACCTATTACATTTATCTGCTATCTGCTAACTTTTATCTGTTATCTGCTAACTTCTATTGCCTATCGACTAACGGCTATCGTTGCAACTTTCAGCGAATGTGTCATGTTCTGCGTTTGCGTTTATCTTACAGGCATGCCTCATTGTAGTGGTTTTTGGCCAGCTCTGTCTCTCCACCTAAGACGTTTAGCGCTTTCCAAGTGTTACTGTAGTATGTACCTTGCTCAAGTAAACCGAATGTGTCACTATGGCTAACCATTTTAAACTAATGCTATGTAGTAGAGTGTAGTGGTAGTCGTCAAGTTGAGTATCTCTCTTTAAATGAAACGCCAGTTTGCTCGGAGGTTCTTCTTTTTTTTTGTTTGGGTTCGTTTTGGTTTTGGTTTTGGTTTTGGTTTCTGTATTTCAATCTGAGTCTGCTGCCGAAGTTGTTTGGTGAAAAGTCGAGTCTATCATTACAGCTATCAGCTAGGTTTATAGTAGTAATTTTATCGAATTTCGTTACCCCTTTTTACATATTTACAGGACTGTAGCTGGTATCTTTCTTGTTTCGCGTGTGTTTTTTTCGTGTTGAAGCTCGTTTCCCAAGGGCACCACATCTCCAAGACAGTATGTACAACAATGTAGAACCAAATGTTGGGGGTTGCCATTAGGCAGCCACGCTCTCTCCTCGAAGGATTCAACCCCGGCTGAGTGTGAGTATGAGAGTAGCCAGGATGACCATGCCCTGGGCCAAAGGACCTGATCCTGCGCCTGCCGTCGACATGTCCTGGCCCACATTGCTGCGCACATCCATGAGATCGCGGGACAGAGGCAGCTCGGTGGGATCGCTCAGCTCATCGTGACAGGGCAGCATCTCGGGCTTCAGCAGGAACAGCTTGACATGAACGGCATTCTTGTTGGTCAGGATGTCGAGGGCGTCGCCCGACGAGCCGTGCGACGTCATCAGCACATCCACATCGTTGTGGCCGACTGGCGGGGAGCCAGCTCCATAGAATCCCTGCTTGTGCAGACTCAGATTGTCGTCCAGATCGAGGCCATGGCCCAGGGTCATGCCGCCGGTGTTCTCGTCGTAGTAGTCATACCGTTTGTGGGCCGGGGCCACTGCTGCCAGGTCCTTCTGCTGCTGCTTCAGCTCCTCCTGCTGCCGCTTCCGCCGCCGCCGCAGCAGCTTCGACTCCACCACGTTCTCCGCACTGGCGGCGAACTGCCGCTGTCCGCGTAGCGCCTGTCGCGATCTGCTGGCCGAGTGCTTCCGGCTGTCGTCCAGCGTCAGGCCGCTGTAGCTGCTGCCCACCACGCTGTTGCCCACGCCGCCCATGCTGGCACTGTTGCTGCCAATCGCCGTGAAGCCGCCGATGTTGAGCATGTCCAGGATGGTCGGCGGCACCGGGTCCACAAAGTGCGAGAGCTTCGGCTCCTGCAGCGTGCATTGCAGTTCCTCCAGCGAGTCACGCAGCTGCAGGTGACGTGTGCGATTTCTCAATTCGAAGATCCACTGCAGACGACAGTCGCAAATGAATTTGTTGTCTGCGGATGACAGGTGAAAAGAGGGGGGAAAACCGGGGGTTAAATATAACTTGCAGGACGAGGCTGGCAGGCTTTATTCCTGAAATTGCTTTTGTCAAATCGTCGTCGTCGCCCCAAACCGATTTTCCCCGTCTGAATGGACGGGCATTGAATGTCTGTCCAGGTAAGCGATTGATTTCCCCCTCAGCTGCTGAGTGGCCGACTGCAACAATTGGCTGTCATTTGATGGCCGATTGCCACTCCAACTTTAGGTGCACCCAAAAACAGTTTAAAAAATTTATTTATGTCCGATTTCTCAATCTCATGTTAAAGTTCTAGTTTGTTATTGTTAATTGCAAGACTCTGCTTTCATTAAGAAAATCAAACTGAGAGATCAAAAGCTTAATTGTCTTCCTAATTTTCGGCTTGACAACCGAATCAGGACACTGCCATTAACATGACATTGAGTAATCGGAAAATCCTTAATTAACATATTTAGAATAAATGCCAATTGTTCCCCTAGTTAAATGTTCCAATTTTATGGTAATCAATTAAAAATCTATAAATTTTCTCTTTACTTTTAGCATTTAAACCTTTTAAATTGAAAAACAAGTTTAAATGTTTAATTGAAAATGAATAGAATGAATAATCTTGTTAAACCAAGTAAATTTGGCAATTTGAGCCTTTAAGACTGACAAGTTTTAACTAGAACATTGATTTTAACATGACATTGAGAAATCGAAAATTCTTAAATTTTGATTTTCAGAATAAGTGACAATACCTCGAAAACACTCATGTTTCCATTTTTATAATTAATAATAAATTTATTATTATTATTAATTTAATGAACATCGGGTATTTATTTTTAATATTTTTCTTTACTTTTAGCAAGAAAAACAACATTAAATGATGAATAAGTAATTAATAAGATTTCTTTATTAATCAAAATAAAACAAGTGAGTATGTTTTTTCCAGTGCAGTGTCTCCAAACTTCGCCTTCAGCTTCGCTAAATCCTGTCAGCCGCTTTAAATGATTTTGCCCACGTACCGAGCACGGAATCGAAGTTGCAGAAGGAGTTTTAGCAGGAGTTGGTGAAGGAGCAGGAGCAGGAGCAGAAGCAGGAGTCGGAGTCGGATGTCGATGTCGTTGTCATTGGGACTGCAGATGCTCCGCACGTTAAACGCCTCAATGACATTTCCAATTTAGACAGCAGCCTCTGCTCATTCGGGAGCGATTGCAGCCGGGCTTTTGACCACTCCCGTCTGTTGGCCTGCGTCTGTCAGTCAGTTGGACAGTTGGCTCCGGTCCGGCTCCCTGTTCCAGCACCAACTCCACCTCCACCTCCAACTCAGCTCCTCCCTCGACTGTTGTCAATTATTTTGTAGTCCGCCTGGCCATGCGTGGCCCTAATCTGGCCCATGCCTTGGCAAACCCTTTCAATTTGCTGTTTGGTTGGAGGACATGGCCCGACTGCGTTCCAAATTGAGCGGATAAACAAGTGCCAGAGTGGATCTAATCGCCGACAATGGTCTAATGAATAAATCAAATTACGTTTCGATGGGCCTTCCGAAGAAAACTTCAACCCGAAAAGGGGCAAAATGGGCTATGAGCCCTCGTGGGTATAATTAGGCCCAAACACTGTGACACAGTTTGCCCTGTCAACATTTCGCATAATTAGCACAAGCGTTACGAAAAATATTGACTGACTGGCAGGCACACAGAGGCACTGTCAGCAGGGATACAAAGAAAATCGGGGCAGTGGGAAGAGTCAGTCGGCCAATTGAGTTGGCATATGAGCCGGGCCAAAAGGGGCCCCCATTCCTTCCTCAATGACAATAATAATCTCAGGCATATTTTTGTGGTCCGGCCAAAAACTTGCCCCGAGAACGACAAAAGGAAACTTTGCTTTGCAAAATAGTTGGCAAATTAGTGCTGGATGGGGGAAAAACCAAGGAGAGCCAGTCAAAAATTCTAATTTTCCATATGAAAGCAAGCAAAAACCATAAATAAAGTTAAATATGCACAGCCGGAGGGAGGACGACGTCGAGGAGATGACTACACTTGGAAGCCGGTCCGGAAAAATGCTGGAAAAATGGCCAACGACTTGGCAACATTTAGCAAGCAAATTACAACAAAATTAACATGATAATGAAGTGACCCAGCTGGGTGTTTTGCGGAAAATGTGAGGAAGTGGGAGTGGGCGGCTGGTGCAGCTAGCTGGCAGCTGTTCGCAGCTGACCAAATGACAATGACTTGCCCCCAGACAACGTTCCATAAAAGTGCTTAAAAAAATTGAAATTACAAAAAATATATATATAAAATGAGTGAGGGGGTGAGGGGCTGTGGCGGAAGAGGGGAAAAAAGGAGCCGAGGACACTAGACTGTCGTACTTTGTGTGGCATAAAATACTTTTATATTTTTAATGATACTTGGCCAAAGCGGTAGGAAGTGTTTTGGTCTGCTGCACACACTCCGGCACACACACACACACACACACTACCCACCCCCAACCCCCCTATTTGGCATGCAATGAACTCCCTCAACCACGCCCACTTATTGCTATATATGTATGCATGTTCAGAGAACTGCGGCTGTTAGTCAACTAGATGACTTTCAATTCTACCAACTCCTACTCCTTATCCTCAACCATTTTACCTTTCACCGTAAAAAAATGTATAAATAATTACGACCGAAATTGGTTGCCAGAGATATTACAAAATATATTTAATTTATGAATAATAATAATAATATAAATAATATTTTTAAACGATAAAACCTGTTTAAGACAAGAAAAAAAATTGTTTTGTAGTTGGAAATTTAATTGGTTTTAGAACTCGGAGAATGTTTTCTAAAAACTAATTTAATTAGATAAATAAAGATTAACTTTACAATAAAAGAGCATATAAATTGTTTAATTACCTCCAGAATCAATTAATATGGCAATGTGCTGATTCTATCATTTAAATAACTTTTTAAAATTAATCTACATTTATTTTAGTGTACCATGGCGCTGTGTCTTTTCTTTCATTTTGGGTGGAAATTTGGTGAGGGGTCAGGAAACTGTCGGAAACGTTTTTACGGCTGGCAAAGGACATTTACATACACATACAGGACCTCCACATCCACATGCATATGCGTCGTCTGTGTGTACATTAAATTTTATTATTGTCATTTTCATGGGGTTGTCGGACCCTTCCTTCCACCCGTAACTTTTCGGTCAGCTCTATTTGCATAAGTTCAGTTTTCCGAGAGTGTGTGTGTGTGTGTGTGTGTGTAGCCAAATTAGACTCAACTGGAACTTTGTTTGGTCAGTTTTAATGCCAATGTGTCTGTGAGGCATTGAATGTGTTGAAACATATTCATAATTAGTTGTCAGTTTTTGGGGCAGTTGAAGACCGTAGAATGTGGACTCCTTTGATTGGCTTTGTTTGCACAAGATGTTGGCTCTTTAAAAAGGGTATATTATTTCTCGGCTGTTATTTTACACTGACTAAAATAGCAGAAATCCTTCACCATTGTGGACCCTCTAAATGGCGTTTCATTAGCATTTACTTTAAGTTTAAAACACAGCGGACTAGCGCTGACCCATGCGTAAAAAAAAGTTTCAAAAGGAAAGGCCGAAAATTCGCTTTAATTGGTTGGTTTTAGGTGCTGCCTGCCACATTAACCCATTCTGGCCCCCCTACCCTTCTCTACATATATAAATTGAAAAGAGCAAAGAAATCGCTGGCTTTTTTTAATATTTTTTTTTTTGTTTGAGTGGGGCTTGGAGTAGGCCATATCAACACAAAGTTTCCGCACGCCCCCAAATCAGCACAGCTGCTGGCCTAGTTTCAAGGCCTTTGTTTCACTCCGGACTTGGTACTCCGGACTCTTTTCAAGCCCCCTCCTGTAAGCGGGGTCACCACGAATCGCCATGAATGCCGCGCAGCCTTGTTTGAAATCAGCTCATTTTTGGCGGCCTGGCCAACTGGCCAACTGGCCAACACCGGACTTTTTGGCCAACTGGGAAATTCTAACTGGTAGCTGGAAACTGGGTTCGTTTGCGGTGCCACCAAGGGGACAGCACGCACAGTTGCCCAGTCCGCCCCCAAACTTGCAGGGGACGGACTGGGGTCAAGGGGTCAAGGGGGCGTGGCAGCGTGGCAGCGTGGCAGCGTTGTCCTTTGCCATTCTCTACAACAGTGTGTTTGTGTGCGAGTGGCGGACTGCGCTCTCCCGAGAATTTTATCATTTTTTATTACATTTCTCGAGAGCGCTATGTATGCAAATGAAGTCGAAAGTTTCGCTTTGTATAGTTGCTAGTTGCTTTTGTTGTCGACTGAGTAGGGACTGAACTCGGTGATAAAGGCAAGCTTGTTTGGGAAGGCGTGAAGAGGAGTGATTCTACTCATTGGCTTTGGATACTCTTTTGTCGGGTGGAGAAAATAAATCTTACATTGATGTACGTATACAGCTTGGAGGCAAAGTTATTGAAGCTGACCAGAAAAGGGCTATTTCAATTTTGAAGAGAAATTTATGGGTATTGGTTTAAATTTACACATTTTTTGGTGTACATGGTCTAACTAAATTGCTTATAAACCAAAAAAGTAATTATATAATAATATAGCCTTAATCATCATTTAAAGATTGTTTCCTTAAATGTTTTCCAACCTTATGCATTTTATAAAATATAATATTTTTGGACAGTTGAGTAATGAATTAATTTGTTGTACTATTTATACAGTTTCAAGTTGAACGCACATACTAGATTAGCCCATCCTAGAGTCTTAATTAGTCGTTGTGATACTTTCCATCTCCCATCAAATTCCCTCTCACTTTTCGGCAAGTTCTTTTATTTGTCCATTCGAGGGGAAGCCTTCAAATTTGTGGACCTTCTTCGTGCCGCCTTTTTTTTAATGAGCTTCATTTTCCAAGATTTTCTATGGCTCGTTTTGTATTTTTTGTTGCCGACTGTTGGCTTGTTTTCTGGCTTGTTACGGCTGTGTGTGATTTTGCCGGCTCATTCGCATTGCGTGTA